TCATACCTCATCCATGGACATATCCCAGACTCTGCAAATTTCATTCTCCATTTCTTCAGCAAGCTCCATCTGCTGCTCATCATCATCTGAGCCGGACTTGTCACTTTCAAGTGTGACAATCTTCAGAAACATAAAGAAAAAAAAGATTAGTTAAAATATTCAGAGTTCTCCAAGTAATATTATCACTTAGAAGTCTCCAAGAGAGTATCCCTAAAACATTTCCTCTGGCAAAATAGTTTCTAAAAACTAGAGCTTTGGATAGATCTACACGTTCTATATTCTTGGAGTAAACAGTGTCTGTAGGCAACAGAAAAACACAGGAATGAAATGTCAACAATATAACGTTCACTTTCAAACAATTCAGGATTAGTGTAGAGAAGACATGGAAACTGAGTCACAATAGAGAAGGCGGACTTAGCTGAACTGGTGAAAAGAGCTATGGGAGGAAAAATGAAGGACCAATGACATGTTCCTGGGAGAAGAAAGACATTTCTCTTAAAAGAAGAACGTGAACTCTCATGGAAGGGCAGGACTCTGTCCTGGGGAAATGAGATGAGCGTTCAGAGGTGCCTTCAAGAGTTCAGAAAGCACAGCACAGGTCTACTGGTGATGGAACACAATGTTAAGTAAAAGGAGGCTGAAGGGGGTGCAACCAGCCTTGGAGCCCCAGTTAAGAAACAGAAAGTTTTCTCTTATGAGCAACAAAAACACCCTTTAAAAGTAATAAAAAGGAAGGCTGTTTTGGCCACTATGTAGAAAATGGCTCTAAAAATAACAAAAACAGGAATTGGCGGTATGCAGAAAAATCTGACAGTTCCTGTAAACCAAACACATTTCAAGCACTCTACTGTGATTATAATCTCAGTCTACATAAAACCCTTGTGTACGACAATACTGTTATCCTATTTTATACAAAGTGTGAAAGAAACCGAGGTTCTACATTAACGAGTCTCGCTTCCAGCATGGGATGAGCTCGCGTCTTGGAGATCAGGGCTGTCTGACTCCAAACTGCACTCCACTGTGACAAGAGCCGACGAAACGGGAATGGCAGAGTCTCGACTTCGGAAGAGACAATGGGGCTGGGACGCAAAATCCGAGTAAAGTATGTGTGTGGTGGTGCTCTGGGAAGTTAGGAAATTGGCATCGCGAACCTCCAGCATCCCATTCACTCCCTTGGTTCGGAGGGCGCCTGCGCGAGTCTCCCCACCTGGATGAGCCCGCTGAGGACGCCGAAGAGCCAGTGCTTGCTGTAGACCGTGCTCCCAATGCAGTCTCCCCCGGCCAGGTCCTCCTCGTCCTCCTGATCGCAGCTAGGAGGCGGAGGCGACGGGTTACGGTCCATGCTGGCGCGCAGGAGCCACGCCGGAAGCCCGGAGGAGGCGAGAGGACGCGCCAGAGAGCCCGACGCACCCAGCGCGGCCCGAACAGCGCCCCCTGCTGTCAGGTTCCTGCAGAACCGGTGGGACTCTCCCCCAAAGTGTCCACCCAGGACCAGGCGTGAGCATGGAATGCACACATCAGCATTACCTTTGTCTGGACCGAAGAGGGGAAGGGAAGAGGAAAAAAAAAAGAGGAGGAAGAGGAGGATGGAGATGCTTGGACGTGGGACTTCAATACAAGCTGATTCTGGATGAAGACCCGAATATATAAAACACAACTTTTACGTCTAGAAGAAACTGTAAAGAACATTTAATGACCTCTAGAGATAGGGAGGGTTTTCTTAAAATACACAGGAGCCTAATGTGAGAAACTGCCACATTTCTCAGACTGGGGAGATGGCTTCGCAGTTAAGAGCACTCACTGGTCTAACAGAGGATCCGGTTCCTGTTCCAGCATCCACAATGGCAGCTCACACCCCTCTGCAGCTCTGTTCCCCAGGGGATCCGATGCTGCCTTCTGGTCTCTGCCGGCACCAGACATGCACAGACACACGTACAGGTGAAACACATAAAAAAGTAATTGCTACATTTCTATCATTCTGCATGAGGCTCAGCTGGACATGGTAGCTCACACTTGTGACCTCAGCACCTGAGAGGCTGAGGAAGGGCGTTGTCACAAATTTAAGGCAATCTGTGCTTCACAACGAGACGCTGTCTAATGATGATATGTAGGTCTTCAAATTGGGGAAAAATCAGTCTATAAATAACACAGGCTCAGGACCAAGAATAACAAAATCTTATAACTAATAAATCAGTAAGAAAGAGACAACTCATTAAGAAAACAGACAGAACATAGAAATAGGCAACTCACAAAAGAGGAGTCAAAACTGAAGGGACTGTTAAAAGGGTCTCCAAGTCTGGTTTATTTAAAATACACGAAGATCGGGAACAGAGCTCAGTGGAAGAGCACACGTGTGCCAACTATGCCCGAGGCCCTGGGTTCAGTCCCCATTCACAAAGATGCGGACATTCCATGGAGATGTAAATGTAAATCAGTGTAAGTTACCACTTTGCATCCCCACAGCTGAAATCTGACCACTCCGAGTATAAACAGGATGGCGGAGAGGGGAGAATTTCACACACTGAAGAGAGACTTCACCTGAGCACAGCTACTTTGCAGGGCAGTGTGATCAAAGCTACTTGATTTCAAGAATGGTGACCTATTTTTTAAGGGTTGAAATGTGTCCTACCTGCACATTTTTAAAGACACAGACAAGGCTAGGACTAAAGGAAAACTACCGGAGGCCATTATACAGACCAGATGTTGGCACTGTTTCGTGAAACCTTCGTTTCTGCTGCACACAAAACGCCAAGGGTTTCACAGAGCTTCTGTCTTGTTACACACACACCACACATACACACAACACATCACACACACTCACCACATATACCACACACACACACACACCATACACTACACACACACTCACCACACATACACCACACACACATACACTGCATAACACACACCACACATTCATCACACACACATACACCACACACACATCACACCACACACATCACACCACACACACATACACCACACACACCAAACACACATACCACACATATATACTATACACACATACACAACACACAATACAACACACACATACACCACACATACGCATACACCACGCACACACCACACACACACACACACACACACACACACACACCATGCAGGAGGAGGGATGTATTTAAGGTACATGTTAAGATATGTCAGCCCTTCATTAGTGGTTGGTTTATACATTACATCATCTTACATTTCAGCATTCACTTTGGGTTTCTATTCTTGTTTGATTCTTTCTTTCTTTGAACAGGGTCAAGCTACATAGCCCAGGCTAGCCTGCTACTCACCATCCTCAGGCCACCACCTCCAGCAGCTAGGATTGTAGGCAGGTGCCATCATGCCCAGCAACTCCAGGTGAAGTTTTGTTTTGGGTTTTGTGGGCTTTGAACTCTTTTATCTGTGGGTCACACTACTACACTGATGTTTACATACATGCTTTGTGAATTTTCTCTTCTCTTAGAATCTCAGGAGCAGGAAATTGGATTAATTGTGACTCTTGTTTATGGTATCTTCTGATTTGTTATTATCCAACCAAGCTTTCCTGGTCCTTCTCTCTCAGAATTACTTTCTATAACCAGAAAGTAGTTATTCTTTTCTCCCTTTTCTTTTTCTCAACACCCCTTTCTGTTGTCCTTGAATGAAAACACAGGTCAATTCATGTTTCTCTGGTTACTCATAGGAAATCAACAATCTTGCATGATTTTAAACCATAAGCTTGAAGACTTAGTTGAATTAACCACGAGGATTGCAGACCTTGGGGCCACATAACATTGGGATTTCCCGCTCACTTAGAGTGCGTTTTCTCTCCCTTTCCTAATCCAGCTCATGCTGAATAGGCTCTGTAGGTGGGGGACGGTGACTTTGTTTTCTTGTCCGTGTTCTTCCGCACACAGATCACCAGCTGCTCTTTCTGACCCCTCCTGGAAGGAGAAGGGGCCTGCAGAAGTGAGAGGCAGGAAAGGAAGAAAAAGTCGTACCTGTGACAATTTCATAAGATGGTTCTGTGTCCTCTGGGCCTAACAGGTATTTT